GAGGTGGCATTTTTGTAAAGCCCTGAAAACTCTCGCTCATTTTACTTGAAAACTTATCCCACAACACCGAAGCATCTAATGATTTTCACATCACATAAACACCATTTGTGGAGAAATAGTTGCTAAAAACCCAAGTCAGGAAGCACCCAACCTCTCGTGGCGAACCCGCTGCTGTCCAGGTGGGTGTCACATCTGGCTTTGGGTACTCGCTGGTGCTGCCGTGGATGGTGTTGGCCATGGATCGACCTTGGAAAACAAACCCCAGCATATTGCACCCTAAGAAAAATTTAACCACAGCAGTGAACATAGAAAACAACCCCTCTCTCTCCCTCTCTTTACAGTGGGGTTCACATTAGTGTTTAAATTCACTTCTTGTCTTCCCAGTATAATCCTATTGCTGCAGCTAAAATCTGTTGTTCGTTTGGTTGTTTTTTTTAAAAATCAGACTTGGTATTTTAAAACAAGGAGTGTCACAGCCCAGTTCTTTAACAAACACCATTGATATGGATCCTTCAATCCCTTGTAGCGTTCAGGGAAATCTCTGCTCCCAGATCTTATTGCAGGGCAGGGGACTCAGAGGCTAATCTCTCTCTCTACTGTTCTTTTTCTAGTTGCATGGGGAGAAAATTGTGAGAAAATATGTAATTCCAGGGTACAGTGGCAGCATTAATCCACAGCTTCATACCCCATATACTGCTTTTATTGACCATAATCTTGCAGAGGGTATTAAGGTAAATAGTAGATGGTTTAACGGCAGTTTAATATTCTGCACATACCCATAACAGACATTTTAGTTGCTTTTAATTGATGTAGCTGTTAGCTTTGTTAAACTCTCCAGGAGAGTAGTTCTCACTGGGAATGAGCCTCCTAGTAAGTATCAGTTTGCAAAAACACAATAGTTTGAGCCATAATTGTGCAGAAAGAGACTTCTGGATTTCTTTGCAGTTGAATAACAGCGTTTTGTTTCACTTTTGTATAACTCATCATCGGGTGCCTAAATTATAGTCAAACTTTCCAAACAGCTAAATAAAGAAATACATGGGTTAAGTAATTTTTAAGATATAACGGTGACTGGAAGATTTTAGCCAAACAGAACAATTTATAGCTGTGGGCACATAAAAAATAATACGATGTAGGAGAAGTCCTGGTGCTGCTTAAACAGTAGCTCTCAGCACTCATAAAAGATGTGGTATTAAATTATTTTCCCCTTATAAATCAGCTGGCCCTGGTCTACACTTTAGCACAAGCTTCATTTGGTTTCTGGCTTCTTAGTGGTCTTCACATAACTCCATCTAACCCCAGATGAAATGCTGCTGGCATGGCACTCAACCTCAACTATCACAACTAAAAATACGTATAGACCCAAAAAGAGCACGCAAAAGATGATTGCAATCAGCAAAGAAAATTAAAGGGTTCTGCAATTAAAAAAACCTCCTATTATTTCATTGGTCTGACTGGTAACTGCAGCACCTGTTTGGGGGGGATAAAAAAAAAGGGTAATCTCCTTGAAAATTAACTTTTAGATTTTTTTTAGGCTTGTAAAAATAGTAGAGGATCTGAAGGTGTGTCTCAGCAGGTTTTGCCTGCCTGTCTAGCGCCGAGACTTTTTGCGTGATCAAAGAATACATGACAGCGAACGGATCTATGCTTGTAAATATCAAACGGTTTGATCATGTTAAAAGACTTTATTGAAGTTTCCCACTTTTTAATCAAACAAGAAACATCCACCTCCAGTACCCACAGAAAAAGGGCTAGTATGATATTAGAATAAAAAAAAAAAAAGTACTAAATGTGACTTATGGATAAGGGGGTTTCTTCCTATAATAGGGGACTTCCATTAATGTGTTTGTAGGCTGAGAGGCAACTGCGACCCTTATAATTTTACCATAGCACAGTATAAAACAGGTTTGATTACACCATTATTATTAAGTCCACAAGAAATAAGCCATGTTCACATATGCAGCCTTTTAAAACAGAATTAAAAGCACAATAATGAAATGAATACACCGCTGACTTGTTGGGTGTTGGTTTTTTTTTTTTTTTTTCCTCCTGCTTTATGGTGAAATCCACAGCATCAAAATCTGCAACTGGCCCGTGGAGAGGTTTTCTATACTATTTCTGACGCTTGGTATGATAATTTGCAAAAAAAAAAAAAAAAAAGTTAAAAATGCCACATGGAGCTCTGAATAAAAAGAGGCAATAATTTACAGTAAGATGATAAGAGTGTAATATTGCTTTAATATAACGTATTAATGAAAATTGCCATTGCAAGATAGATAAGACTCAATAATATAACTCTCATTGTGTTCTGTGAGTTGGAGGCTTTGGTAAGTTATATGTTGGTGCTGTGTGGCTGGCATGAATCCTGATACAATTCCGAAGACTCGGCGTTGCCAATGCCACAAGAGCCTGAATTTATTTCCCTAGAAAAACCCGGGCAGGCACTCTCCTGCTCTGTCAGGTATTACTGTGCTCCTCTGCCAGCTCCTGCCTGCCGCAGAGTTCATGGGAACATGTTTTCATTATTTTTAATGTAATTTCATACATTTATTTTCATCCCACTTTATACATAAAGTGAATTAGCTTAAAAAAATCTCTGTGGCCTTTAAAATTCTTTATCCCTTAACATACTGACATTTTTTAAGTGGGCAATGGGGCGATACCAGGAATGGCAGATTAATTTCTTGCCTTTATTTTTATGCCAGGGTAGCTCAGCACCGCTGTGTTCCTGTCGCTTTTGCAAGCATCTTATATTTACGAGGATGAGGGCTTATACATCTGTTTATTAAACAGCAGCTTGTTTATCTGTGCTAATTACCAGGAAGAAACCTAAACTTCTTTCCTCTCTGCGGACACTATTTATAGTTAGGAAGAGCAGCGTGGCACGTATGCAGGGGGGTATTTGTGCGGATGAGGCTAACGTGCAGTTACAGCAATCTCTTCTTCCAGAAGAGAGGAAATTATTTTGTGGATGTAAGAAGGCTGGATGAGCACATAGCGTGGGTTTTAAACCCAAAATGTGATGTCAAAGGGGAAAAAAGAAAAGTTTTTGAGTTGATCCAAGAAAAAAGAAAAAAATAAATATTTTTATCAGTGTGGGCTTTGATAACAATATTTTGTGTGCACCTTTGCAAATATTTTGTAGTATTACTGAAGACACACAAACCCGCTGTTTGCTCTCCAAAAGGGTTAGAGGCTGCTATAAGGGGAGCTAAGGAGGAGAAGGGATTTATTCCAATCTCCTCTTCCCTGAGAAAAACTCTCTGGAAGATGATGATTTTTCTATTCTACAGACCCTTGCGGGTTTTGTTTCTGAAATGGCCAGAAAGTTTTTCTGTACAAGTCCCGCTATCAGAAATCCTGCCGTCCATTTTGGAGGAAGTACGATGTTTTCAAAATAATTTGTTACTCGGTGTGTCTGCTGTACTGGCATGACAGAGAGTAGCTCTGTTGTGGCAGTTATGACAAATGAGAAATATTTGTAAAAAAATCAAACCTGTTCTGGAAAGTTTATTTTTTTGGAAATTATTTGTCCACAAAGATTATAGAGAGAACTTTGTATCATGACAGATGGAGTTTTCCAGTCCTCTGGACTAAGCATAGTCCACTTTCAATAAGCATGAAAAAATACAGTGGTGATTTAAAGTGCACAAACTTATTTCCGTGAACTTTTAGTGAGTCAGCTTTCACCAACTTCTAGTACTTTTTATGGGCTCTGTTTCTTGCATCTCAAACAATGCTTATAGCCTTTAAATCTCAAAACCACACACCAATATTTACAAGCGTTGATTCTGAGATCAATATTTTCATCCGTATCCTGTCACTAAAGGCAGCACATCGAGAAAGGATAATCCAGCTTCATTTACAATCTCATAGTACTTACTGCCTTGTGATGTGTTTTTTAAATTCAGAAATTAATATAAAAGTTAAAAAAAGTCCAACACTCAAAACGAGGGCAACAAATAGAGGAATAGAGGAAGATTTTAAATAAGCAATAATTAATTTTTGGAAGCATTTTTTTTGTCAGGATTGAAAAGAGACCTTACTTATTTGAAATTATATATTTTACAGAGAAAGAAAACATTTATAAAACACATTCTCCCTGGTAGGTGATGGCAGTGGGCTGGCCAGTGTTTCTAAGGACAACTCTTGTCTGATGGCAGTGGAGAGTTCATCTAAAAATGATCGGCACATTTCTAAACCTGCACTCTCACAGCTCCCGGTTCAGCTTAGTGGCTTCAATTAGCAATTAAACTGGAGAAACGAATGCCCGTATTTTGTTGCAAGAGGGTTCGTTTCATTTCTGACTTGGAAATGACAGCGCAGACACATAAGGAGCAAAAAATCATGTAACACCAGGAGGAAAACACGCCGCGTTGGCTGGGATGCTCAAATTATGCTGCATTAATATGCACGAAAGAATTAAAAGAATTAAAAGCCTTTTAAAAAAAAGGGATGTTGTTTAAAAAGTCATGTAGTGTCATTGCTTATTCAACAACAGCCCACTTCTCCTCCACAGCAGTACGCTGGGTTTGAAAAAAAACCCAACCCCACACGGCTGTAGAGAGAGCACATGTTACATCAGACACAGTACCTGATTTTTCACTGCACAGCTTGTCAGCTAGATAGTCTGCCTCTTGGGCGATAAGTGAGAATATTTCATCTTCATACTCTTCTACGATACTTTCCCACTGTAAGGATGAAAAAAAGGAGGATACTCGTACTGTGCCTTTTTTTTTTTCTTTCCAGCTAGAAATAAGCAAGGCGGTTGCGATGCTGCAGCGAGGAGCCCTCGGCTCGCTCTGCTCTCCCTGCCCTGTGTGGCGCAGGGATGAAGGGGGGCTGCCCGGGAATTAGTGCTACCAAATATTACTTAAACTTTCTGCCCAGCCTCGCTGTTGGTTCAAAACCACATTCATGGGTTGGGGGTGAAAACGCCTCCAAAAGGCATTTCACTCGGTTAGGGACACCATCCCCCCCCGCCCTCTTTCAACATGGACTCAGGGAGGAGGCACTCGAAATTTAAATACAAGAAGCCCATTTTGTATTCTGATATTAGTGGTCACGATGTGCAATAAACACAGCTCCCTGACCATGAAGATGCAGCTCTGATTTCACTAGAGCAGTCGACAGCAATGAGCTCCTGACCTCCCCCCCGCCCCAATATTTAGGGAGCTGCTGGTAATTCACCTCAGTGCCACAAAATGGGTCTCTGACCCCCTGGGAAGGGTGGAGGAGCGCTGCTCCGAGGGGGTGCACCCTCCAGCATGGTGTCTAGCACCTTTTAGGAAGCCTGGGTGAATTTTAAGAGGGAATTCCTGTCCCCAAAATTCAGACTGTAACCCATAAACAAGGGGAAGCCCTTTAACATGGGTGGAGACAAAACATACTGAAATAATATCTGCTTGCTGCAAGTCGTGCTTAGTCCACACACACACACAAAAGGCCCTTTGCTGTGCTTTGATAAAAACCCAAACCAGTATCTGCCAGGACATGCAATAACCCTGAGCTGCCGGTGACCGAGGCAGAGCTGCTGCCTGTGCTCCTCTCCGGGAGCCCCGGCCCTCGGAGCCTTCATGCCAGCTCGCTCGCCTCCCTCTTTCCAGTCCCCAACTGCTCGAAAGGCCACGGCCAGCACAACCCCACTGCTCTTTTTTTTGGTCTTTTTTTTTTTTTGTATGCTTTCTACAAGAGCTGAAAAAAAAGACCCCAAAAGCATTAAAAAATAGATGTATATATTTGAAGAAGGTGCTGGTATGAAGCCAGGCAGAGCATCTCAGTGTTTTTAGCAGAATTAGCTGAGAAAAATCCATCCTATGCCACGAGGCCTAAGAAAAAAGATGACAACCCTCTCCTCCTCCCCTAATTTGTCCATAAATATTTGAAACTACTTTAGTAGCAATCTGGATTTTTAACCACTAGTACAATTCCCTTATTTCCCGCACATAAATCAACAGAGATATTTTTCTGGGAAACGCTGATTTATATTTAATCACTTAGAAAAAAATTCCCCAAGTAAAACGTAGTTTTGAGCTGTTGGAGTTTAGGAAATTTGTAACTTATAAAGCATCTGGTATAATCCGCGGGTTACTTCTGCAAGTGACGTGCCTTTTGTAAATGCTTTATTCATATTTATGAAGTCCTAAATAGATCCAAATACGTTTCTAAATAACGTTATAAAGCATCTGACAAAACGCAGTGTTATCTCCAAATACTCAGCCAGTTTCTGCAAGGAGCCAGCATGGAGTCTGTTAAAATATGGCAAGAGTCTGAAAACAAGGCACAATCTACATGGATTTCCTAGTGACGAGAAAGAGTGGGCACACCGGCACAGGTTTTGCTGGAAAATAAAAGGTTACTCATTCGTTATGTTGGTTCACTGCAAATTTCAAAGGTTTGTAAGCATCAGCTTAACACCCCCACCTTTTTTTTTTAAATTTTTTTAATCTGAATAGATTTTTCTCTTCTCACCCTGGAGGAAATCCCTCCCATATCCTTTTCTGTCCCAACAACTCCATTAAGTTGTTCTTTGACTTTGCTAAAGGAACCTCATAGAGGCAAAAATTGATCTTTTTTTTTGCTTATTATATCACCAAAAGCCCCCACTTCATACAAATAATGCCTAGTTAGATCACAGAAAAAGAGCATCACTCTGGCTATGTAGAACTCTTGACACATTACATTACACACGTAATTAAAAACGTCAGCTCCAGCTAAGGTGGCCCTGGAGAACCTGCGCAGACCCTTCCAGCTCACACCCAACGCGCCCCTCGCCCCCCTCGCCCTCCTCCAGAAGCCAGCCGCCCGGTTTGAAACCTCCCGGC